GCATGGAATCACCCTTTGAAATCATTCGTGAGAATACCTACCTTTGACGATGTAATTTTAACATTTTCTTTGCCTTATTTTATTGGATAATTCTTCTTTTTTGTCATTATCTTGTAGCTATCTTTGTGTGACATGCTATGCTACTGCACCCTAGAAGATCCTATTCGGGAATTTCCATACATGTTGGGCAATTATCCAATGCTGATGGGACACAGGTGCCGCGTCGGAACTCATTCAATGTTTACGGACTATTTTAACTCGCGCAGCAACACTCTCTTCTAGGCTTGAATTTCTTTTCGACGACGTGCATGTCACATCTGCAAAGGCTCAAATGGATGTGGCAAAATTTTTTTAAAAAGCCGTAGAAGTGCATGGTATCTCGAGATTGTGTCTTGAAATCTAAGAGGCTTGTCTTGGAACGATTCAGTATTTAATTTAAACGTGTAATAATATCGTCGTGTCTTACAATTTATAACAGCGGACTTATACGTAACATTGCATTTTTATTAAACTCTGGACTTCCGCAAATACTTGACGGACAGTCGATCATGTGACCTGAAGAACTTTTTTTCAAACCTTTTCCCAGACAGTCCCAGTCCAGATAGAGCAGCAGTCACCTAATTTTAGCTTGATATGGCGATTGTAAAAATTGACCAAAACAGCAGCAACCTTACGTTCTCAAGTCGACATAACACTTTCTCTCTACTCTCTCGGGTGGGTGTTTATATATCTATATATAACACGGCTCCTTTCCCACGCGTAATCTTCACATATTGATATGTCGGCTCAGCTAACAACATGATATTGCTACAACGTTTCTGCATGGTTATATAGAGGATGCTAAAATGATTTCTGTACAGTCTCCTATAAAGTGCCCGCAATGCTACCTTATAACGTTGCAAATATATTACCTTTTAACGTGCAAGGTGCTCTACAGACAATGGTTAATAAGTTCCAGGAAGGAGATACAACGGGCATTCAGCATCTAAATCGGAGATTCCCAAATAAAAAAGAAATGCGTAAAGAGTTTTGATGCATTCTATACATATTGTTAAGTACGAGCGAATGACAAAATAGTAAAAAAAAATTATAAGCTAAAACTTGAAGCAGGAATTTTCTGTACTACCTGTAATATTTACCACAGGTAATACACAGGCGAAACGTCTAGAAATTTAAATAAAATATTCTATGAATACAAAAGTGATCTTTTACAAAACAAGACACCCAGTGTATTAATTGTTCACTGCAATGAGGCTGGTTATAATTTCGATTTAAAAAAAATGATGTTTTAATTGAAAGTGAAAGCAGTTTACTAAGGCCAAAGTATATAGAAAAAACCTTGATTGCTAGCACATCCGCTATAAATTTGGGTCCAGGTTCTTACAACATTTCAACTGGTTGACAGATCTATCACCACAAAGTGGGATATTTAATGATAAAAGTGATAATATATATATATATATATATATATATATATATATATAAACTGAATGAAATCGGTCAAACTACATGTCCACCATTTTTTAGCCCACCGTTTCCGACACATATAATATATATATTGCTTTAGTCTGATAAAGTCTTTCTTAAGGATGAAACGAGTAACATATTGTGGAATCGTGAATTCACCCTTTTGCGTGTGTGCGCGCACACACGCAAAAGGGTGGAATTCACGATTCCACAGAACCCTTTCGCGGATTAAATGTCGGCAGACATTTAACTAATAATAGTAAAAGGTCTCGAACTTCTTCGGGAAGGTAACTTTCCGACCGGAGCTGGTATACTTAGACATAGGCTTGTCAAGAGAAGTGGGTGTCTTCGAATTCTCCAGAACATGCGGAGTTGATTAAGTAGTAGTATGGGACGTCGGTTTCTCTATAAATGTAGGCTTCAACCGATCTATCGAGATGTTGTCGGTGTGAATACCTTTTTGTATTTGAAAATATTTATCCGCGCGTTTGAGGACGCGATACGGTCCCATATAAGCCGGCGTGATAGGTCGCTTGGCAGCGTCATTGCACACAAACACAAAATCGCAGTCCTTGTCCCACTTTGTTATTCGTTACATATATAATATGATATATGTTAATTTTATATATCATAGTCTTACCTAAAGAGGCGAAAAGTGTCACACGAAAACTTTTTTTCATTTTTCCTACATAATACATACGCACACGCAATCACACACACACACACAGAAATACACACACACACATACATATATATGTATACAGGGTGTGTTTAATAAATTGTCGTCTGAATGAGACAAAAATGAAAATAAGACTGACATCTTATATATTTACCAAAATTACACAAAAGTATCTTGAAATACGAAAGAGTAAATTTATTCTATAAAATCGCCATTGATTTTAATCACGACCTCCAGACGACTTCGAAATCTCCTGCAACACTTCTGGGCTGTCTCCTTGCTTAAATTGGGGAATGCTGCCATCGTCCTTTGGTGCTACAAGGAATTTTGTTGGTCTCTTCTTCAAATGTGCCCCACACATAATAATCAAGTGAGTTGCAAGTGGGTAGGAGGCGAGTTAATGCGGTCGTAGAAATTACCTGACAGCCATGATTGGATTCTCCTGCTTGTGTAATATGGTGTAGTGTCCTGTTGCCAACTATAATGACTTCCATCAAACACCATCTTGAACCAGAGCAGCACTCCCTCTTCATCATGTAGGCCTTCGTGTTGAGTCTGAGGCCCTAGTGATCACTCTTCAAACACCTACGTAATCAACATTAGACTCTTTTAGAATCCTCTGCGCTGTCCTCAGATTGACCCCAAACAGTCTGTAATGTTCGTATTAGAGCTTCCAGCACGAATGCCAAGCAGTACAGAATACCATTTCTAAATTTCTGACGGAGTGAATTGCGCCATGTTGCTCCTTTTCTCATAGAGGGTGTCTAACTGAACCTACAATACTGGGCAGTTGAAAAAATCAAAAACAAACAACGCGCATGCGCGTAATTAAAAATATAAAATGGCGATAATTTATTTATTGTACCCTTTTAATATGAATGATAGAATAAGGAACAAATAAGAAACGTTTATAAATTTAACATGTTTCACATTTATTTAAGCTTCATCAGAAAATGAAACATGCCCATATTTTTTTTTTATTGTTCTGGACACTTTTTGCTTATACTTTTAGCCATTTTCAAGCGGGTAACAAGGATTGTTAATATATTTTATGTTTCCTATACATCATTCTGTGGAAGGTATTTTTATACCACAAAAATTAGAATACCCTTAAAAATGGTTAAATTATTAACCAAAAATCCTCGGGAAAAACACGGGACAATTTCCACGCACACACCAACCCACATCGTCCTCAAAAAGGAAACAATTCGAAGGGCACAAAACGAATTAAATAAAGCAAATTACAAAATATACCTTGTTTGTCATATTTAATAAAACATAATTTTATTGGTTTAAACATTTTTATAATGGATACTCATATGGGAAATAGACACCAATGTTTTATTTTTATTTTAAACTCTGTGTATTAAGCATATCTACCTGCGCTTTCCAGAAATTTGAATAAATAAAAGGGGGATCATAATGCGGGAAGCAAACAGGGCGTCTGTTTCAAATACGAGTATCTATAACAATAATGTTTGAAGTAATGTCGGGTGAGAAATAAATCCATTAATTCTATAGAAATTGAGATATAAATTCCTATCTCTCTCTCTCTCATACATACAAACACATACATACACACACGCGCGCACAAACACACACACATATATATAGTAATATATATAGTATATAGTAATATATATATATATATATATATATATATATATTACTAATAAATATACAATCCTCAGGTGCGTATTGAATACTGACCGTTGTAAAATTTAAATATTGGTATTTATAACTTATTGTTAAGATAGCGGAACAATCCATTTATATATATATATATATATATATATATATATACCCTATACTTATATAGATATATGCACCTACATACATGTATATGTATATATATCTATATACATAATATATATATATATATATATATATATATATATATATATATATAGAGAGAGAGAGAGAGAGAGAGAGATAGACAAACCTTTCATCAACGGACTGGAGTGGTCCGTTAAAGTCGATAAACAACAAAAATAATAGATTTCTCACAGCTACTTTCTCACGCACGCGCTGATTTGTCGTACTTTATATACTGTACACTCGTCTTTGTTTACAATTGCAAACCCTGCCACCACCACCAAGCGGTCACTTTGAGAACTAATACGACTCATTCTGCTAAACTCGCAAATTTTGAAATTCATCGCTGATGATTCGCAACTTTATTTTTTGCAGATTTTAAAAACATTTTCCTGCAGATTTTATCCGTTGCATCTGAAGTCCGTTGATGGGGATTCCGTAGATAAGAGGTTTGTCTGTATACACACACACACACACACACACACATATATATATATATATAGAGAGAGAGAGAGAGAGCTGACTTACGGCCACATCACGATGATACATCGGTTCCAGTACAATGACCTCAGTTAAGCAACTTCGAGCCTGGTAAGAGACAACCACTGACTTTGGATGATTCGTGCGTCTTTATACACATCCATGAGGTCATCCTTCAAGTCAATCTTCAAGTGCATCTTAATTCCCATACAGCATGATACGACATTGTCTATTTCGGCATCTGATCTGAAGCACATTTTACAAGTAGATGCAACCTGCGGTTTCATTTTGGAGGGAAATAAATTCTCTTCTGTATAAAATTAAAAAAAAAAATATATATCGATTAAAAAATTTAAGTGCTACGATTAGATTCATCACGTTGAAACGCCGATTTTCGTAAGATCACCGAAGTTAAGCAACGTAGAGCCTGGTCAGTCGCTAGATGAGTGACCGCTTGCGAATACTGTAAGCTTGAATACGCTGGTGAATAAACTGGAAATCGGAGAGCCGATTTTAAATTCAGAGCCATTATTCATTAGACAAAGCTCATATCCAAAGGTTACAGCACCTCGTATTACAAAGCGGTCACCCATCTGAGTATTAAACAGGCTTCACGTTGCTTCACTTCGGTCATCGTACGAGAACCGGTGTTTCAACGTGATACGGCCGTGAGCCAATTCAAACGAGTTTTGTTATATTCACTTACGCGCAAATTACCTTGAGAAATATATTCGCCTTTTCTCCCCCAGCGACAGGTTAATGAGTAGAACTTATATCAGTAAATCATTATTATCGCTCCATAAAGATCTTACAATTTAAAGATATTTTATGGCTTTAAATAACCTACAAAATGTTGTTAAGCCGTAAAAAAATCAAATCAACGAATATTAGACTAAGATATAAATAATTTCCGTTTTGTTTATCAACCTTATCCTTAAAAAAGTGTTATTATATTTTCTTCATTATTGACAATGGATTACTTACACTATTTACGATGTTCGGACTGTTGTCCTCATCTTTATTGCCCCAATCACGAAGTTTCGGCTGTGGTAAAATCTGGCCTTCTTCAAGTGATATTTGTTGAAATTTTGAACGAACCCTTTATCTAGTCCCCTAGGGTAGATTGTTCTAATTCCAGGGGCCATGACTTTAGATTTCTTAGTTTTAGTTAATTCCCTTTGATAACGTCACTCTTCAAGCTGATGCCAGGGATTGAACTCAACTAAGTTATTTTTTGATCAATCAACCAACGTTTTTATCCACTAGGCCATGTGTCCCTAGTGACAGTGAAAAGAAGAAAAAAAAAACTAATAAAAAAACAAAACAAAACAAAAAAATACTGGGAAGTTGATTTACCGAGAGGAATTAACTAAAACCGAGATATCCAAAGACATGGTGCGTGGAATTAAAGCAATATTATCCAAATCCCCGAATATCGCTGATTTTACAAGGAAACCGACAAATTTAGTTGGAAAAATAGAGATTTCTTTAAACAAGGAAACGAAAATATGCCTTTTTATTGGGTTGCAGTCATTGAAAATAAACATTTGGTAAATAATATTATAATATATTTAATTGTGCTACTTAAACATGTCATCTAACTTCCGAGTTTGATCTAACAGAACAGCACACCACGAAAATATTTCATCTACGAGTTGAGCAGCAGTAAGATATACATTAATATAGATATATACGGAATAAGACAAGGAAAAAAAAGTAGTCGTTATTTAATATACTATAATAATATACGAAACAAATAATACCATATAAAACACTAAAGAACATTACTATTTTAAGTAATACTATCATTGTCTGTAATCAGTTTGAACCTCATTCAGAACTACGCTTGTGGAAAAATGGATGTGGAACATTTATTTTCGAAACGATGGTTAGCTTCAAAGTAGAGAGCAAGAAGCTCGGACAAAGAGAAAGTATATATATATATATATATATATATATATATATATATATATATATATATTTATTTAAAAATATGATTCCAAAACGCTACATAAGAAGTCTCATGTTTCAAAAACAAGAGCCGAAAATTTCAATATAATTATTTAAATTAAATTGAGTTAAAATAAACTCTGTTCCATCTTCAAGCGAAATTTTTTTTTTGGAATAACGTATTTCTGAAATTTACGTGTTTTAAAAATTGAAATCAAAATTTCCATGGTAACAGCTAGGGCGAATTGTTCAAGTTGGGTAGGCGGGTGTTGGGTGTTAATAATAAGTATCAGTATAGAGTTACTTTCATAGATGTCAAGTCAGGGTAAAGTGGGGGTGTCTAAATTTTAAATGGAAGATGTATTAACCCTCGTCTAGTTTGCATATCTATGGAGATTTATTTATTTTTATTTTATTTTTTTATGAAAGGGATTTGTGCATATAAAAAACTCTCGTAACGTTTGTTTTTTGACGACTTCATAAAGGGTTATCTTTTTTGTAGGGTATTTAAACTATTTATTTGGGCTATGGATTATGAAGGGTTATTATATTTTATGCTTTTTTTAGCTAATAATTCAAACCAAAAATCTGATGATGCCTACAAAAAACCGTTAACTCATGTCTATTGTTTAATAGATTATTATGATTTAGAAGCTTAATTATGTGCAATTTCTCATGGAGGCATAAAGGGCATGGGTCATCCCAAGTTTTACATGTTCTAGCCTTGTTAATAATTTTCCATTTAACTTTAGGTGTCCTATTTGTTTCCTTCAGATGCCAAAAATATTTAGATAGGGAAGTCTGATTTCTTTTGTTTATATTTTTGGAAGAGCACTTATGCTGCCTCCATCTATCTTTAAAATCATTCTTCGTGGACCCAATGTATATCATATTAGTGCTAGGGCTCTCAGTGGATGATATAGTACATTGGTATACCACAGATTTAATGCAGCATTTATTTTCTAATGGGCAGTCTTATGGGTTTCTACAGTTACATAATTTTTCCCTTTTATTCTCTGATTTAAGTGCCGGGTTTTTATTAATACTGTTTTGGCATGGGGGTTTGTTCAAAATCTTATTATTGTGTTTTTTTATTATACGTTCAGGATTTTCAGAGCAGCTGTAACTCAATTTTAGGGTGTTCTTATTGAATATATTACTAAGCTTACTATTGGTGGGGAAGTGTTTATCAATTAGAGCTAAGAATTTCTGTCCTAGTTTAATACTAACCATTTGGTTGAACGGAGGGGTGTACCAAATGATTTTTCTTTTCCTGTTTTTTTCCCCATTGCCAGTGCAATTTTCTCTATAGTTAATGTTAGCATTTTTATAACCACTATTTTTTAGGGCAGTGTTATAGAAGCCATTTTGTTGTTGGAATATTTCCTTGTTAGCGGAGTTAATGCTAATTCTATTTTCTATTGATGAGGGTATATGTTTAATTATGGATGGAGGGTGGTTTGACTTCGGGTATATATATAAAGGGTTAGCATTAGGTTTGCTATAAGGTTGGTATGTATTGCCTGGTAAGTCTAGACTTACGTCGAGGAACTTTACCCTTTTCAAATTAGAAGAGACAATATCTTTAAGTTTAGTTTTTTAAATTCACTGAATATAATTTTTCTGATTTTTTCAATCTTGAAACTAGTAGAACTCCTCATCACCATGAGCCCGTCATCTCTATACAGTCCGATGTCCTTAATATCAATTTCGCGGTGTGCCTTTAAGTTGTACAGTATTAGAAGACCAACAAGGTCAGAAGACTCTGCAGAGTTTAATGATCCCATAGTGATGTCAAACAGGTCGTTATTGTTTTATCCATTGGTCCCCATTATGAATGAGGACCGATTTCTTTGCTAGAGGATTATATATATATATATATATATATATATATATATATATATCCCAATATGCGATCCCAGTATCTATCTATCTATGCATACACACACACACACACACATATATATATATATATATATATATATATATATATATATATATATATATATATATATAACTATTTTTCGAAAAAACCTCGAATTTTTGATTTGCCAATAATCAAATCAATCTCGAGGGGATGAAATGTTTTAAAAAAAGAAAGAGCTACAAACATGAACTTCTGTCGACAAAAAATCGCACAGATGCAGGTCTGAAGCCCAAAGAAAAAAACCCGATACGAGTAACAACTAACTAACAAAAGACCTCAATACAACCGTAGAGCAGACCTAGATAAACCTAGTGAGCCAGACAAACCAACCTAGGTTTATATATATATATATATTATGGCAAGGAATATATGGCAAGGAATATATAGGCAATATATTATGGCAAGATTTATATATATATATATATATATATTATGGCAAGGAATAAGCGGAATGTAAAGGACATAATTATGAAAACTAAAACAAACAACCGGTTTCGTCCCAGTACTCCTCAAGTTTGATACACTGGGATTATTTAATCATAAACTTAAAAACAAAAAAACATTCAATGAGGGGGAAAGGGAAAAAATTTTTTTTTTATATATGATGGAAAGAACTCGAGGCCAATCACATTCAAGCCCAACAAGCAATCTCTCTGCTTACAGAGAAACGGCCTGCGGGACTTGATGTAAATGGACTCAAGAACCTTCAAATGATATGCAGAGTGTAACTTTGCCAGAATGGAAAAACAGTCAACACTCAAACCAGCAACACATTCCCTGCTCGTTATAGCGTGTTCCGCTATAGATGACCCGGATGTATTCACTAGTTGGCTTTTGTTAGTGGCCGGATTTAAAATTCTGGGGGGTAAATGTTGTTTAATTCTAAAATCCAAACGCTGAGACGTTCTGCCTATGTAGTCACATCCGCAACCACATTTAAATTTATATATAACTGAATTAATATGAAAGGGAGGCAGAAAATCCTTGCGCCCGGAAGAAAGAATTGGTCGAGTAAAAAATATTACTCGCACATTAGCAGCATAAAAACACTTACTAACGGAATGTGAAATTCGCCTTGCTAGTTTTTCACCTTCTCTGCCAATGTAAGGAAGTCGTAAATAAATTGGACATTTCTTAACAACAAACGGTCTATCCTTACTAAATTTATCAATGACATCATGCATAATGGAATCCAAAATGTCCAACGGATACCCATTTTTAGAAAGAGTCATTTTTATAAAATCCAATTCACCGTAGAGGAAGGAATTTGAGCTCGAAAAGTCAACGTTCTAATTAAATTAATTTTTCGTTGACGTGGACAAAAAGAGTCCCAACGGACATATAAACCTGAAAAGGTAGCCTTCCTAAATACTGAAGTCCAATAGCCATCATCACCTCTACGGACCAAAACACCCAAAAAGGGAAGACAACAATTAGACTCCTTTTCTACGGTAAATTCTAAGGACGAATGAACAGAATTTAATACAGAGAAAAAGGTATTGGCTTCACCCTCATTATCAAAGAGGCAGAAAATATCATCAACATACCGATGATACATCAGAGGTCGATTAATTTGTGAAAACAGTAAAACCTCATGAAAACCAACAAAAAATATTAGCAAACGTAGGACCCAAAGGCGATCCCATCACTACACCGTCTATTTGACGATACATAATATCACCAAAGCTAAACTCTACAGACGTAGTGGCGAACTTCATAAGTTCTCTAAATATACCCTCAGAAAAATCCGGAGGACGTAGAGAAGAGCGATATAACATATCACAACAAATCTC